GAAAAGTAATGGAACTACATTAGGAAGAAAAAGTGCATATGGAAGAAACTGACATCCTTATTATATTCCATAAATTCTATAAAATGAATGGCATCGTTATTCATTACTTACTTTCTTTTCCAGCAATAAAGTTTTGGTATGTATCTTTGGCCTTCTTCCCATCAAAGAAGTAATGGTTGAACATATTGTATCGCAGGAAGGACTGGTGCTTGAAAAATCTTCGCTGAGATTTGAAAATGCCAAAAGAGAAAAATATTATACATAAATACAGTATTCATATTCTTTGCACTTTCATCATAATAAGTCTCAGAGAAAATAATGATGAAGAAAATAATGTTGAAATATTAACTGTACTTTGAGAAACAAATTCTAAAAGTACTGAGTATATAATGTTAATCCGGGTGCAAATTTCCCACATCTGTGGCATCTATTTTGGCATGAAATATGTTTTCTGGGGTAACAGATACTACCTGAAATAAAATGAGCTATCAATGCATACTATTTCACATGTTGGGATAAAAATATACTCACAAATCGTTCATCAATGTCAAGCATCAGAGCTGACATATTCAGCTTTTCAGAGTTTGCTATTGCTTCGTATATTCGAGGAGCCCCAACACACAAAACTCTTTTGGCTTGTATCTTTTGTAGCATGGTGATGATAACATCGACACTGCTAGAAGCAAAGAGGTATTGTGCCTCTTTCTTTGCACTTTCTCTGGGTGGGAGAAACTGGGAAAAATATGCTACATTACTCAGTCTTGTCAATATCATCCATCTACCAATTCTACTTTCTATGCTAAAATACAAATACTTAGCACTGACTTTTGATAAAAATCATAAAAAGACCTCTAACTGTTTGATCAAAAATACTTTACATTAAGATATCACTGGAATGTTCATTATCTCTAACTTCCTATGGATAGCATTAAACATGTATACTTACTGATGATGGCTGTGTAAGTTGTCTGTCAGTCAGAGGTGTGATAAGTGTGCAGGCTTTATGTTTGCTTCTTCTTGCAGTTGTAAACAGAGTAGAGCAGGTGGCACAGTATATTCTCTCCCTTGGCAATACTGACAGCACCTCATTTAAACTGAAATTAATTTATAAACTTTTTGTATTATATCCTACCTTTTCAAACACATTATGGAAAATGATGCATAAGTCTATTAGCCAGTATTCTGTATAAATGACCATCACTGTTTTTCCACATACTTAAGCTGGCAAAAAATAATACAAACTGAGCAAGATGTTAACACTTGCCTACTTTAGAATGTAATAAAAATTTCAATTATTGGATAACATCCAGTATAGTGCAAATCTGTACTGAATTAGTACTGATATAGAATATCACTTATTAATGGAGTTACAAGTCAATAGCTCAATAATTCACAGATACTTAATAAGAAAAAAATAGAAAACTCCTGATCTAAAATGCTTATATCATATAAAGGTCTTAGAAGCAACAGATGGATATCATACCATTAAAAAATAAAACTTTATGTATGTACAAATGTTCTAGAACATCCTAGAACATTAGTAAGCACTAAATTAACAACCACAATAGATAAAGTTGAATTTTACTGATTCACTTGGACACTGTCATAAGCATATACATTAAAAAAAATTTAAATATAGATGAATCACCTGCATAATTCCTCTTCATTGTCTTTAGGCCCAGAATCTTTGATGAGTTTGTCCCACAGGTCTCTCTTTGTCTCTGAAAACTTTTCATCTGCCCAATGGAAGAAGGAGCAGTCTTTCCTGTCCCGACAAGCAGAACAGGCATAATATTGTCGACTGCGACCATTACTCTGGTATCTCTCAAATAACACTGTTGGGCCTGAAAAAAAATTAATTCTTAGCTTTTCTTATGACAAATATAACTGCAAAGTCAAGAAAATATATCAAAATATGCTTTTCAAGAAAATTCTGGTTCCTTTTGTATTAGGGACTAATATAAAATGTTTTTTTTCTGATTTGAAAACATTTATCAAGAAAGAGAAATTTGCAAAATTAGAATTCTCATTAAATTGCATATCTTTTAATGTCCATGTCAACAAGTATCTATTATACACACAAACTTCAGCTACAAAGTATAAAGACAATACTGATTTGATGAAAACTATGTTTCCAAATTTAGAAATCTTATAAAATATCTACACAAGTCTAATTTTACACTTATACTTATATACTTATCATACACTTCTCACCATCACTGATTTTGCACAGGAAATAAATATGTATTTATGCTTACATGTTAATTTTCATTATGATTTTCAGTTTCTGATGTTACAATTTAAGTCTAAGGAGCCTACTTGATATTACTCATCACTGGAAATGCACAAGTCAACTTATCTGAATGGCTAATAGTGTGAGAAACAGCAAAATGTGATCAGCTTCAGGTCTATGATCATTTAGTCTATATTTTCCAAATTTCTTATTAAATACATCATGTACCTTCATCATGCTGAAAAACAATGTGAAACTACCATTTTC